AGGTGCATCACGAATCCTGATCCACGCAGCTATTCTACTGCTGTAGTAATTCTCCCAACCGTTAACCGACTCATCTCGAAGTGACGTCCAAAAAGGGCATATAGGCGGTATCGGATGGCTGAGCGCCAAATTAACACGAATGTAGTGTGGGTAACAACCAAGGTGACACAAGAAGATCTCTCGCTTCGGATATGTAGCCGTCGATGGTGCGACGAGAGGCAGTACAGTAGAACTATAAAAGGTGAGATTGTCACCATGCTCACCCATGCCTATCAAGACCACAACTGCATTAAAAAATGTGGCAACGGGAAAGAGGTCGCACATAGTTTCCATCCAGTGGTTACGGCCACAAGGGCCCCCATCCCAGCGTATTCGATTGAGTGTTGCGTCGATCCCATCAAAGAAGATGTGCTCGTACCTCGGAATTTTCCCCGCAATCTCATTTGCAATAATTTGTCTTACCAACCGGTATCTCCTGGTCACCAAAAATATAACTCGCAATTGCCCGAAATCCGCAGTTCCCATCGTCGGTCACATCCAAGTAGCTCTCTACGTAGTCGTGCACAATGTAGAGAATGCTATTCCGATACCGGTAACCGAAGAAGTCTGTCGAGAACGTCTCTTGTTTAGTATAGATTTGATGGGCAAGGGATAACCGAGCTACCCGACTCGGGTCGATCTCGAAGGAAGGCTATTCGGAGCTTGTCTACTAAATGATCGTCCAAATCACAAAAATCGAAAATGAAATCCTAAATATTCTAAACAATTGATTGAATGGTTGATTAACACTACTTGAGCACTTAAAAACGAGCAATTAATTGAAAGGAAGATCAAAAGACGAGCATTTCGCAAACTAGATCACCGGAGTCTCATGCCATAACCAATACAGAATGATAATCAATCGACATACGGAATAAACGAGTTACGAGCATTAGATTACTAACCCTAGTCGTCTAACCGAGATCAACAAGTAATTAACGACTCTATCTACTCAAGCAAGCAATCAAGTTCAAGCATTTCCACCATCATCAATCAAATCCAATTTACTCTAATGAACATTATAAGTAAAACCGGAGCAAAAACGAAGTAAAGAGCTTTAAAATTAAATACTCAATCTTCCATTGCGTAGACGATGATAAACGGAGTCAAAAGCTCGAAACTTGAATGAAACCGAAGTCGCCGGAAAATCTCCCGGAAAATAGCATAAGCTCCTAATCTAGAGAGCAAAAATAAAACATAAACTAATTTCCCAAAGAGGAAAAGTGAAAAATGATAGTTCGATCCTCAAAATGCAAAGGACAAAA